ACACCTTTAGTTTGGACCGGGTTACATGCATATATTCGAATGAACTAATTTATATGGCTGTTTGTAAACCTTCAGTTGAATAAAGTTTGACTTTAGTATTGAACTTTTAGCTACCAACTGATAAATATTCTTCAAGTAGTTTGATAAAAAACCGTTTGATCATGCTTTTATTTTGAAGTGGGTGGAGACTGGTCACACTGCAGTTCTGTTTTCTCCCTTTTTCCCCAAAAAAACCTTTATTTCAAATAAGAAACATAGGAGCAAAATGAAACACAGACAGTAAAATGTATCTAAACAGAAGATGTAAACATAAACAAGTACAATATCTAACGGTTTTGTAGGACATGTAAATTATAATGTCAAAAGTAAATTGGACCTCGATGGTTGTAGTTTTTAAGGACACATATTATTTAAATTGAACTTAGTATTTAGAATTAGCTTCCGCTAAATATAACCTTGGTGTAGCGCTCATTGCAGAACTGACTCATTTGTGCTAATGGTGTAGTTAGAGGTGCTGATGGAGAAGATCCTTTCTCCATTTAGGTTCTTAATGTATGAGGTTCAAGAAGAGTCAGTGAGTTTATTTAATCAATTCAATTTTTTAAGACTAAAATGTGGTTCTGGTCCATTGTCACGCTTTCCTTATGTGACAACAGAGCAAAATGGTCCCCAATTCTTCTTGTTGGCTTCCATCTAAGCTGGAGGGCATTCCTAGTGTGTCATTTCCTTTAACCTTAGCTTTGTATCTATGTGTGCATGGGTACTACGTGTGTGTATATTTGAGCATGCAAGCAGCTAAAAGAGATAGAGGAAAACACAGAATTATTTACTCCCAACAGCGCCCGACACTGCCCCTGGCGTGACACTTAACCTCAAATTGCCTACTGATCTGGGTATCAGTGAGTGGATGTGTGCATGTTGTGAATGTGACTGGCTGCAGTGTAAAGCACATTGAGTGGTCGGTATAACTAGGAAATTTAGACTATTTGCTTATTTTCCAAGTCAAATAAACTTGTTTCATTCTTTCTGTAGAATTCCTTCTCCAGTGTATTTCACATGGAACATGAGGAGCTGAGGGAAGTCCTAGATACTCCCAAAAGGTAAGAGGATCCCCTTAGCTGCAGGCTGACCCAGATTGGTTCTGCTCTTCCCTCCCCCATTTATCACAACTAATAATTCCTTAATTTTGCAACCTACACTTTTCCCTCTCCCTCAGAGGCCATTTGATGATATTTGTCTGACAGACACCTTCATAAAGTTTCATTATTATCATATGGAGGGAAATGTATCTTCTTGACATAATATTGAAATCAAAAAGAGAAGCATGGAGCAAAAACAGTCTCAGTATTAACAAATGCACCGAACAAGATTCACAAATGGACAGAACAACATTTTTACTTGTTGCTTCAGCCAATCATATGAACAGACCCTACATGGGTAACTTAGCCAATCACATTAACCCATTCCAACAGCACTGTACAGACTGTGGAAGTACAGACATTTTAGACCTCAGTATTGCTTCTGGCAGCGACAGAGGAGCAGTAAGTGACATATTTAGCTACTTGTATCTTGATATGATTATGACGGGGAAACATTGTCGATTGGGTAAAATTTTAGACTTCAACAGAGGAATCAATTGTTTCCCATTAATCAAGAGTCCAGACACTCTGGACAAAGCAAATATTAATGGACAAGGGACTGGTTTTTACCCGGCTAGTGTGACTATAGTGATTGCGTGAAATGAACTGTTTTCCTGGGATGATGGTAGTGACTGTGGTAGGAGTTTGCCATGCCAACTAAAAAATACGGTAGCAAATCTGCATTGCAGAATTGCTGCCGTATTTCATTTAGCTTCATCCTACAAAACTGCAGATAAATTGCTCATGTCTTCGGTGAAATCCTCATAACTTCTTCCATCCGTCCATCCATTTTCTTTACACTCTTGTCCCTAATGGGGTTGGGAAGGGTGCTGGTGCCTATCTCCAGTGAGACATTTTGGGCGAGAGGCCTGGATCACCCTGGACAGTTCGCCAATCTGCTGCAGGGCAACACAGAGACAGACAGGAAAAACAGCACACCTAAGGAGAATTTAGAAAAAACTTGACAGTCAAATTTTTGGACTGTGGGAAGAAACCGGAGTACCTGGAGAAAACCCACCATGCACAGGGAGAACATGCAAACCCAGGAGTCTTAGTTTGGCCTGAAAAATCGCTCTGTATGACAACATTGAGCAAGAGAAGGTTTCTTCTTCCACATCACCTGCTTAGGTAAAATGATAGAGAAGATTAATTAATATAATATATATGCGGATTAAAAAAGGCATTCAAATATATGAGAAAGTGAAAACTATTTCCATGAGTGTAAACAGTTCAAATGTGCTGTATGGATGTTTTCCGCCTTCTGGTTGTTATTTGTGGGTACAAGAACAGGGAAAGAGAAAATAATAATTGTGGAAAACATTCTGAGAATAGCTGAATGAGACAAAAACCAGATGTCCTTTTTTGCCATGTTGTCCTTTAGATGTCCTTCTCTTTTTCAACCAGCTTCCAGTGCAGTTTCTCCTAACCTAATAACTTCTGTGAATGTCATTATGTGTTTGTGCTGGATTTCCTCTTGGCAAGATCAAATTCAGCAAAATTGGACATCTCCAACAGGGCCAACTTGGGAGGGGAGGGGTCCTGCAGGATGTTGGCTTTAGCCGGCTCCAACCACAGGAGGCTTTTTATAGTGGCATTAACCAAGGCCTGCGGCTTCCCAGTGACCCACCATCTGTTTCTCCAAAGCAGGAAGTTCAGTTGAGCAAAACCAATGTTTATCCAACTCGCAAGAGTCACAGTCGGAGCATTTCAAGTAGAAAAAATTGAACAATTAAGTTGCCCCGGATACAGAGCTGGATTGTGCTTCTATACAGAAATCTATAGTTATACTGTCAAACTTTTTGGGTGATGGCAGTAGTGAGGCCTCGTTTAACTCAATCGAACAGAGAGGAGGGAGAGAAAAAGTGAACTGAGTGAGCGAGCAAAGAAACTAAATGGATGCTCAGAATGTCAATCTGATTATGCGTGCTGAATTTAGTTGCACGCAACTCCGTCCGTCCATCCATCCAAGCTGGGGTCGCCTGGACAGGTGGCAGTCTGTTGCAGGGCACCGCAACAGACTGATGAGAAATTAGCCTGAGGCTTTGTGTAAAAGCCAAGAAAGAACAAAAAGTTAGACACTCAGAAATAATGCCTTGATCTCAGTGTATTGGTGCAGACCATTGATGACAATGTGAAACCAGCTGGACAGTCTAAAATGGCATAGTGACTTCCAGCTGTGGTTACATTTCTACTAAAATACCAGAGGTAAAAAGATGAGATCATGATGAAGCATTTCTGAACTTACTTTACTTTCTTCACCTTCAATGCAACATATAGTATATTATGTACAATTTAACAGACAAAATTCAATATGTGTGGGAAAAATATAAAACATAAAAAAGGTGCAATGTTATGATTAGCAAATTTTCCCCCAGAAAATTTGCTAAGCCCGGTGGTTGGGGGCACTGAGGCGGTCTACGGGCGGTGCACTATGTTTGTATATTAAAAGATGCTAAGTAGACAGAAAAAGTAAAAATATTACTGGATTAGATATGTTACGGGAAAACATCGCCAGTGAAACACTATTTAAACCCACAACTGGTCTTAAAAACAACTAATCAAAAAATTCAATTAAAATGAATATCAATTATTTGCACTTCTGTTTAATCCAAATCAAGTCAGCGGCTCCATCAGGCCCCCCAGGCCTTTAGGGCCCCATAAATGCTAATATTTGAACACAGATTTGTTTATTGAGATGATCAATGCTGCTAAATTTCATCTGATGATTTCAGCATACGTAAATTAAAATATTTTGAATTGTTCAACATTTAAATGTAAGATTTGAAGGAGTTGGCAAGTTTACTTTGTAAAAGTTCAAAGAACAATATTCATAGTTAGATTGTTTTGTTACCATAGCAACAATCTGACGCTGTGAGTTTAATCTTTGAGATCTGTTTGTTCACAAATACAAATTTAACTCTGTCTGACTAAGTGGACAAAGCATTTGATATGTTTTGATTAGGGTTGCCACCCGTCCCGTAAAATACGGAATTGTCCCGTATTTCGCTGTTAAATGTTGCGTCCCGTATTGAACCGATACGGGACGCAATTTGTTCCGTATTTCTATAATTGTCCGATAGACATGCACACATATTAACACTAAGTGTAACAATAATGACCAAAATAAAACACAAGAAATATTAAGGTCAGCTAATTTCTCTTTGCGGGAGCTACACAGGACTCCCAGAATGCTACGAACCGACGCATATTTTATGAATTCATTGTTCAGTGGTCATTAATGCACCAGACACAGACCTGCGGTCCAGGGGCGGTTCTAGATGGGGCCAACGGGGTACCAAAGAAGTTATACTAAATAAATGTCTTGTGTTAATACTCAGTGGCGGATTTTTTTAACCTGCACAATTTTACTTTAACAATGAATTAAAAATTATAGTGCTGCACTTTTAGCTGCTGTATAGGATCACACTTTCCATCTGCCAGGGATCTGCAACCTGGATCTCTGGAGATGCAAGTGGGTCTTTAGCTGACTTATTCAAATGATGAAATATTGCTCTGTTTTTTGGGGGGGTTTTTTTTGTTTTGTTTGTTTGTTTTACTCTTTTTCAAGTGTTGCCGTGGAAAAACACCAACTATCCTGGCCCCTGTGGTAAATCTGGTCTAGAACCAGCCTCCAAACCTAACTCCTTATTTATAAAAATATTTTGGTAATACTCTATAAAATATCAGAATGTTCACATAACTTTTATACTTTTAGTAGTCTGAGGACACATTTTGATTATTAAATCAGGTGTTATGATCAGTTACTCAGTGGTTTACCAAATACTTTTTACACTTGCTTAATTAAACGTATTTAAAGTATACTACTCTGATTGGAGTACAATTTTGGGGTACTAACCAACCTCTATGCATGAACAACTGCTCTGTGGATCACTTTTTAAAGACAAAAACCACTGCCATAAAATATTATACATCCCACCCCAAGGGCGGTGTGCCGTGTTATTCGTCTCTTGTTTTGATTTCTGAAAGGTGGCAACCCTAGTTTTGATGCATCGTGTATCTGGAAAAATTATTACTAAAAATAATAATATAATAATATAAAATCAGCGTGATGCGTGACTTCGAGGCGAGCATGAAAGCTTCTCACCAGGCTGAACCTGCATGATGAGGTTAGTACTGGTTGGTTAACCACTAACGCACTGGCTAAACGGGACCATACATAAACTTTACAGGGAAGACAGAGCCACACGTCGGGCAGCGTGTTGAGGTGTAAATGCCGCGTAATGTTTTGCTCACAAATATAAATCATTCTCACCGCTCCCTCAACCCTCACCTCTGAAAGCGCGACTACAAATTATTCTGGTGGTTCACATAGAGCTGCGCAACCAGAGCTAACGCGGTTCGTTTTAAGCTCTTATCTTGATATAGAGTTCTCCAAAGAATCATAATTCCTTACAGGGGGTTGATGTAAATATCCAGACAGGTCAGCTTGTGTCCAGTTTGAGTGAAAGGAGGCGCGCGCGATCTGCGCTGAGGCAACTTCAGAGATAAAGCAGCAGCAGCGCGCGCTGTGTTATTTGTCCGAGCGCAGCCGGCTTTAAATACATAAACCTATAAATCTTTTAGAAATTACTGTCCTCCACAAGTGAAACTCTGAGACGCTTGTGTTCCGTGAAATTTTGAACAGAATCAGAAGTGATCGGCAACAAAAATGAGTCAACACGCTGATCTGCTAGAATAAATGTGTCTTTTATTACGCCACAGATTTCAGCAAAGCAATCATTCATACATTTATACGTGATGCTAAATATTGTCCTTTAATATATCGCTCTTACCGTGACACATGGACTGGAGAGCCGTCAGTCCAGGCAGAGAGCAGCATTCACGTGGCTGGACGTTCGTACGCAACCCACAGCAGACTCTGCCAAGATGAGGGACTTACCCCGATTTTATACTCTTTAACAAACATCCTTGCGTGAGAGCGAAGAATGGCCACTTCCTCT